TCTTGCAGAAAAATACTAAGGAAATCAGAATTTCCTAAATTTGATACTCATGGAATATAAAAAAAAATATTATGTCTAGCACTGAATTCATGACCACCTGAGGGGCTTTATGGCATAGTCTACAGCTAAGCAGAATTTCCCTGCCAGTGCTTGATGGCTAAAGAGCTACGGTTAAAAATTAAAGAGTGAAAATATTGAAAATTGAAGGAAATTTATCACATAATTAGTACTACCACTTTTTTTCAGATAGTGTTTTCCTGACAAAAGAAAATTTGCCTCTAACATTTTTTCCTATTTTTACTCATTTTTAGCTTAAAAATAAACCGTATTTTAGTTACGGTGCTTTAACATATCTATGCATACACATCTGTGCACAGTTGCATATATATGCAGAAGTATGATAGCACTAAATACATAGTATTCTGAAGTATTATATAAAGGGGGTTTTGTATAGGTGAAGGGTTTGGGACTGTAAACTAAAAATTCAGGTTCTACTTTTAAATCTTCTGTGCACTCAGTTTACCATATCCTTCAATATTTCTGTTCACCAGTTAGTGCCCTTTATGTCAGTAAGTCATGCCTGCCTTCACTTAGTAAATAAAAGTATTGGGAAATTGCTAGGTAAGGATTATTATCATCAAACGACTTCTTGAACTAGAGTGTGAACCACTGAGTTGTAGGAAGGGAATTTCTCAAAGCAATTTCCAAACAGTCTATGTTGGTGTTTTCTTTGCGTCTATTGCTACCCTAAGCAACAGCTTGGAGATGGTCTAAGAACTTATATTATTAAATTAATATAACCCTTTTTAATAAAAGATGATATACAATAAAAGGAGATGAAAGTTAGCAGACTAATGGCAAATGGTTTTGTATTGTTCATTACTGCAGCAAGAATTACTCACCATGACAAAATGGATTTGTTGCTTATATGATCTGACAGTGAAACCAAAAGCACTTTCAAATGGAATTATGAGTGTATAATCATCAGAGTACTATGGATATAAAATGATTTGATTGCTGAATTGCAAAGTAGGTCCCTAATGACCTCTGCTAATATGAAGTGTCAGTTTTACAGCTGATGGCGGTGTTGAAGATGCAGTATTTCTTTCTCTTTAACAATTTACACTTTACAAAAAGGTATACAAATAGATTTTGATCTGCAAAGTACTTAAGAGTCAAGGTAAAAATTTAAGAGAACTGACTTGTAGGCATAGGGGAGTGGGCCACAGGTGCATGACACAAGTGTGTGCTGCATTGCCTATGAGTTGTGGCAAACTGCTGCTTGCACAGCTTTGGAAAGGACATTGCAGCATAATCACACTCATTCTCACTTGTGAAACTCCTATTTACTTGAAGCGTGGCTAGTACTGAGTTGCTGAAATACAGATGTTCCCTTGTGCTAGTTTTGTTCCATGTATTTAGCATTCAGCAAAGACTGATCCAGAAAACAGCAGAATATAGAAAAAATATTATCAAATATCAGCATAATTCTTTTTCCAGAGAATACCAATGGCTCCACTGGTGTAAATAAAAATACCCTTGTGTCATGCTGTGGGTGAATTTGGCTCCTGTGGCTGTATCTTGGCAGCAAAGAATCCTGCTATTTTCACCATTGATTTCATATAAATCAGGATTATGTCCCAGGTCTTGTTTATTGCTTGCCTGCTTTTACAAATATTTTACAGTTTTCAGTTTAAAATGAATGAGTGAAAATGAAATAAATCTATTAGGGTAGTTTATTTTAGACTAAACAAGAAGGCAGGTATGCAAGATTTTTACTGTTCTATCTTCTAATAGCAAAGTTAATCTTGACTTTGCATTCATCGACTATGCATAGATTCATAGAATGATTGCCATAGAATGGTTTGGGTTGGAAGGAATCTACTTTCAACCCCCAGATCTGCATCCCCATTCTCCAGAGCACAGGGAGTCATCACCATGGTGGAGATTTATTTTAATATATACAAACAGCAGTTCAGAAGATTTCTTAGTTTTACTTTCCTGATTCTTGTTTCTAGGACAGGTTAGCTGAACTAATAAATTAAATCAGTGAATTTAACAAGTATTTTATAATACCTTCAAGCGCTACTTTGTAAGCACTTCATTCCTATTTCACATGAAAGATTACAAATACTCATGGCAATGCAGCTGCAGAAGTTCAACCAAAAAGGCATCATAGGGAGAATGCAGAAATCTTATGTCATCATTTTAAAACTTTCAGCATTATGAATGCCTCTTCCTGGTGCCAGTGTTGGGTAGACTTGTCTCTTTGCCCTGACCTCTCCAAAATTTCATTCTTCTATCTCATTTCCTATGAGGTGGAGGCAGGATATCTAACATATTAAAATGAAAAGTTGCAAATTGCCTTGTGTAAAGATAGTTTCCTATAAACCTAATTGACAGGTTTCTGTATAACAAAGATCTTTGTTTCTATAAAACAAAGTATTCTGGTAAAAGTGCCAGCTCAATTTATCCTTAGCAGATAGAAGGCACCAGGATGTGCACAAATGACATGCATTCTGTCCAGCTGAGGACCAGGCCCAGCAGTGCTTCCTCTGCTGTTGGAAGTTGCTTTTCTGTAGGGTCTCTGAGAACAGAATTAGGTGAGTTTTGAAAAAAAACTACCTATGCCTGCATTTGACAGATGGAGACAGTGCTAATTCAGTCCCTTCCCCTCTGTTAAAGGTTCTTCGAAGTTTTCTAGTATTTGCTAACAGTTTGCTTGTCAAATGAGCACAGCTATTTAGAGGATATATTTGCTTTCCAAAGTGTCAGTGACACTATCACAATTACATGTACTGCACAGAGATCCATACTGCTGACAGCAGATTCTTCTTAATATGAACATTGCTTTGCTAAGGTTACCAAAACCACAAATCTGCACCTAGGTTTATCTTTCTGGTGATCAGACACTTAAAAACTTTAGGACTTGGCTCAGCATCTTCAGCATAGCACAGTTCCTATTTTCATGTGTGTGAATTCCTAAACTACAGTGGAAACACATGCTAGGTTGATTACAAGATGATTAGCACTGTGATAATCTACATGAAGTTCTGCAAGGCAAAGGAACAAAAGCCATATCAGACTTCATGAGGTTAGCTTTGAAGGAAACCACCTCATTGACAGGCACTTTGGCTTGACCACAAATAAGTTCCCAAAAAAGAACACTGCTAAATTACTTAAAATATGTGGCTGTCTGTCTCAACACAGCAAGTTGTTCCCTAATTGGTCACAGTTTGAGAATGGTGATGATTCCTTCACTTTGCTGCTTGAGGACAGTTCTGGGTGATATTAGAGTGACTGCAAGTAGAAAGGGAAACAGAATGAACCAATCTTACAGCAGCTCCAAAGAGCAATTCTAGCTGAGTGACCAAGAGAAAAAGCTTGTGTACCTTCAAACCTAAAAGTTTATTAAGACTATCAAGATGAAATTGCTTTCTCTACATTAAAATCATTTTGTCTCTTTTAAGAGTTCTATTAAAATCTTGAAAGCCTCTGAATAAAAAAAATCATTTCTCCAAGTTTGCAGTGGATCAGCATCAGTTTCAAAGGTTTTGGTTTTCAAGAGCTGTGCTGGTGCAATATTTTACATTTAGATAACATGTCTCCCAAATCACTGTACAAAATCTATAGTGCATGAAGGAATTGTCTCCTTTAACCATCAACGTAAAGGCATGCAGCCACCTATGAAGTCAAACAGCATTGCCCACATAACACAACTCAACATAGACAGTAAACAGAAATGCAACAGGAGCACCAAATCCAAACTGATGTCCTCTTGACCTGGATTTAGACAGGTCAAGGCTGTTATCTAAACATCCTTATCAAAAATTTTTAAGACATCTCCATTCTTGGGAGCCGCCTTTTGGAAAGTACCTTTGCCCTCCAACAACCAGTTCAGTTTTATCTCGAGAGCTCTAATTCACTCAGCTGCTGCCATTGCAGCCTATGCTGCCTTTAGGAGACAATCCACCAGAAGGCAGGTGGCTTTAGTCTAAACTCTTTCAAAGTGGTACACAGCTTCCCACAGAAGAAATGCTGTTATTATGTCTTTTACCACACCCTTCTGTCTTAGGAAGATGGTATATACTCATAGGTTGCATCACTGTTCTACAAATGCTGTTGTGAAAGACCTTACCTCCTTTAGAGTATGAAACATGCATGGTATGATATTCATGTTTAGAGTCACATAAAGGGGATACCTGATTTGGCCTTTTGCTGTGTGTAGGCCAGTAGAAATCCCCTTTGACTTGGAATGTTTTGCAATTTACTCTGGGTGCTGCCAAAATAATAAAACAGAAATTCTTGTTCAGAATATTTCAAAATTAGCAAAAGAACCATGACTGAATTCAGCTATGGACTCATCCAGATTCCTCTAATGCAAGCAAAGCAGTTTTATATGAGAACAAGACAGTTAACTGCTGCACTTCATATAGTGAAATACAAATACTTTGAAACTACCTGCATGTAAAGTATGTTAAAGGGATTTACATTCATTTCCCTTCATCTACAATCAGTTGTTCTTATTGGCAACATACATCCCTCTGGAAAAATCTTCCTCATCTGGATGATAAAAGAGACTGCAGTGGAGTTGTATGAAAGCAGGGGTCAAGCCACCTGAAGTCAAGTCATCCAAACACACCATTAAACTTTCCCTTTTATTGCTGTACTTGAATAAGCACAAATATTGTCACTATTTTTCACAGTTTAAACAAACTAAAAGTTTTATCTTCATCAGAACATACATTGTGTTAGAGAAACATTGCCACGTCACCATCTTTTTCCCTTTGCACAGAAATGGCCAGGGAGGTCTCAGTCTAGCAGGAATATGTACATGTACCACATGGAGAGTAAAAAAGGAGGGGAGGAGAAAACAACATTTCAAGAAAAAATAGAAAATGCATTTTAATAATTCAAAACATAGCAGAGAAATTGATGCTGCATCTTATAAATAACTTGAGAAATGTATTTCACCTTTAATTCCCCATTTTCCTATTCAGAACAAGTGCTGCCCAGGACTGGTTTTCGAGCGGATTCCTCTGGCAAGTATTCTTCAGCCTTTGTTTTCTGTAAACTAGTTGTCCTTCATTTTATGTTTTAGCTATTCTTCTTTTTTTAATCATTTCTCAAGATGATGGACAGTCATGACTGCCCAGTCACCATTTTGTTGTGTATGATCTTTGTGGGGTTGTAGAATGCTTATGCCAAATCTTCTTATGATAGATTTGCATTTTGAGCAAGGAAAGGTATTTCTTTTTCCTCAGACAGTTTTTGTTTACATTTTACTGTGTTTTGTGTGTACTTTCATATTAGTGTTCACTCTTTAGCATAAAAGTGTATCTCTATAGCTCATGCCCAAATCTAAGCCAAATAATTTTTTATATCTGAATTTAATTCTGTCTTAATTCTATCACCAATTCCTTGCTCTCATACTTATATTTTGTGCTGTAAAAATTAAAAGAAAAAGCTTTCAAAATCAAGAGATTTTTGGGGTGTTTGAGTCAACACTGATCTTATAAAATGGCAATGGACTTTTTTAAAAAACAGCAATATTTGATTTCCCAGTGTTATCATGCAAAGTTAAAACAGGCATCCCATACCAAAAAAAAGGCTGTTTTGACAATCCTATCAAAGTTTTTTTAGTCCTACACAAGCTGGACAGAGATCCTAAATTAAATATAACACTGGACTGGTTTTGCATAACACAGTAGGGTTTATACATTGAATTACTCTGTCAGCATACCAGTTCTTTTTTCTTTTCTTTGATGATTTTCATACTGAATTTTTTATTTGCCAGCATTCCTCTCTATAAATATCAAGAGGGAATATGTATGCTTTTTTAAAAAGCAACTTGCATTGCAGAGCAGCAGATCCATGACTGTTTTCAAGCTTTTCACATCTTTCAAGAGTATCTGAAAATCAGATGAAGTTATTGTAGTTTTGTGTCGACCCCAATTTACAATTTATAATTACTTATATGAAACAAAAATCTTCACCATCTTCAGCAAAGTAGTCCAAATTAGTTTTTCTTTTCAATAGGTAGCTGAATACACCCAGAAAGACTGTAAAATTATTACAGCAAAGCACTTCATCTTTCCTTTAATTGCAATATAGAAGAGATTTAATAAAATTTTATATCAACATTTACAGGATCATCCCAAATACCAGGTTTATTACTGTAAAATCACATAGCACTTGTTCAACTTGTCTCACACAGAAAATTAATTGAGCATTTTCAGGTGTATATTTTCTCAACTTTAAGAAACAGCTGCATGCATGCATCTCAGTGTGTTGTCCATGCAGAGATTCAGATGAGTACAGTGCAGAAAGGCAGCTGGGGGTCGATAATCACATCTTCACCTCTGAGATCTCATATTGTTCAGTAACAATCTATTCTGGTACCATTACATTTAAAGTAAATCCCCCATCACTCAGGAACCAGAAAGAATTTCCCAATGCTCTTTACTGTCCTCACTGTGCAGCAATGATCAGATCACAGCTTGTCCAATACCATTCTCAAATTCATGGGGGAGTCAGCTGGTTTTATAGCCCAGCAAAGTGTATTGGTGTGATTTTTTTTTTCTTCCAGGCCAAATGAAACTGTTAAAAAAGTTTTCCTTCATACAAAAAGAAGAAAAAAGTGGTAAAACCATTGTAAAAAAAAGATAATTAAGTTACTATCAGACAAAGTTAAAGTTCTTTTTCTAATATAAATGTGCAGAGAGGCAAGGAAGGACAGGGAGCATTGTCATTCTGGCAGAGGGTACCCATATTACATGAGCAAAAATAATGACTTTAAGGTGAAACTCTCAGTAAAACTGGAAGGAGACAAGTCATTAAGGTACATTAAGCTGACTGGAAGGATAAGCAAACTGGAAAAGACAGTGTTAATTCAGTAGTGGCTTGTCTGCAAGTCTATTCATTACTTCCTACTTGGCATGAACCACAAGGTGCTAATCTATGTTAGCAAGAGAAAACAAAAAGACACATTTTCCATAATGAAGTTTTATTAACCAACAGTTTGTAGTATATTGCAAGGCACAGGAGTGTCATTTGCTGTAAGTACAGGTAATTTTCTCTGTATGATCAACTGAAAATCTGTTCCAGTAAGAAAACACAAAATTTACTCTATCTGAAAATCCTTTGTGAGGAACAAAAAGTACCAGAGTCCTGGAGAAGCAAGCACTAGAGGAATATCAGATGAAATGTAATCATTTAAATGGGTAAGAATACTTAATCAATGTATATTCAGGAATATTGAAACTGCTGCCACATAATCATAGGGGATTTTAGTAAATCTATCAAACATGCTCCTATGAAAAACCACAAATTAGTGAACAACTTACTTGTTTTTCAAAAACAAGAAAAAAAGGATCTCAGCAGCAGCAAGGCTTTAGAACATGTTTTTGATCAAAGACTAACTGAAAACAGTGCAAAGAGAGTTTAGCAAAAGTAGGTTGGACAGATTAACCTGGTAACTGATTTTTTTACACCAAACAAGTCGTATGTGCTTAATTAATCTATACTTTCCATTTTCCAAAATGCCAGTTATAATTGTAATGCTTCCATGTTAACCTGGAAAAGACAGTGCTTAGCATGAAATGTAAAGAGAAATGGCTAGAAAGCAGCTAAGCAATTCTACTAGAAGAATCTGGACTGAAATATTAATATGATTGGAGAGCCTTGCAATAGGTCTTCTGTCTAATTTCATGCATCACTCAAGCACATAAACCAGGAGTAGAAGTCAGGTCCACTTTCAGAGATGTAAGTTCAGGAACCCATGGTGTAGCTGTCTCCAGAGCAGTGGAAAGATAATCAGTGCAGTCATATCACACCCACCAGAAAAGCTGAAACAGCACGCAGGTTTGTGTACCAGTCACTGGAGATACTTTGATATTATACTTTGATACTTTGATATTACTGCAAGGTGGGTGACCTAGTGACAAAGGCCACAAACAAGCTCAGTTGCCAGGGTCTTCTTTGCCTGTGTCTTTACTGGTAAGGTCTGTGTGCTATTTGCTTGCAGAGTTTTCAATAACAGAAAGCTAGACTTGATCACCCAGGGATCCTTTCCAATGTTTTACTCCCCTAGTGGGATTGAAAAGAACATTATTTTTTAAAAGCAGTTTTCAGTGTCCTGTTGGCAGACAATGGTCTCCACAGAATTCCAAGTCTTTGAGAAGGAGCATTGTAGCCCACTCAATTGATCCAAAGGCTTCCAAACTGTGTTAGAACTCATAGGAAAGTATGCCCCTATACAGCATTTTTTAGCCTAAAGTCTTTCATGATCAAGCTGGTTTATCTATTCCACTCTAAATGGGGTAGAAAAACAGCATCTTTTAACAAATAAATAATGCCTCTGATTTTAGTCTGTTGCCAACACTGGTTTGGCTCAGCTTTGTCTATGTATCTGAGGGACATTTTCATCTCAGTTCGCCAGAGCAAGTATTCTTCACAACTTGACATTCTTTGATTTTCTTATTGTATTCCCAAATGTGTATATTCATTCACTTGTACACGATAAAGGCAGTGCTCGGGTTGTGACAGAGTGCTGGAGACAGTGCCTTTGAGTGTTAAACCTGGGTTACCAATGATGATCACACTGTGTCTATCTACAAAAGCATCTCCCTAGTGCTAAACCCTGTCCTTCTAGGCACAGCAAACCAGGTAAAGTACTGCTTTCATCTGAAATTCCTTTGCCTCTCACAACTTTTAAATGTTTTGCATTAAGCTAACATACTGTACACACACAGAATTCATTTGCTCCTTAGTGTTGAGACACATCAAATAAATGGAAAAAGATGGTATAATAAGCTGCTTGGTTCTGTTTGGGTTTGTCTTCTCAATATATGAGAAGAAACTAGGTAGGCAAAGGTAATACTTTTCTTTTACCAATTGAAACATTTGTGATTCAGTCTCACTTTCAGCAATACCGATTGTTGAAATAATGCACTGTGCTGCTGTTTACAGAGGATTTTTTATTGCACAGTCATAGTATAGAGCCAGTGCATGTCGTTCTACATGTGTCTTTGCAATAATACCTGAAACAAATCAGGCTTTAATCCCACACTACACATGGCACTTGCCAAATTCCACAGTTTATGAGGTGCCCCCTGATAACTCTGAGGGGAGATCTGTAAGTGACAGCTGCTGAGGTACCATATTTCAGCCATCTGTAATTCCTCCCATCCTAAGGGAACAAGGCACAACTGGAGACACTTATGAGCAGTTTGCTGAAATAAACTTTGTCATCCCTTTTTTCTGTTTGGGTCAGCAGCAAGCTGACACTGACCAAAAGCTTTTGTGTCACAATGTATAGACCAGAAAGACCACTCCTGTCAATCACTGCTTTAGGTGATGAGTCTAAAGCATCTCCGAGCATGCAGACAGTGATAGTCACAAGAGACAACTTCTTAGTCTTCTAAATGCTTTTGGTTTCACTTTATAATATTTGAAATTACTAATAATATTATTAATATTATTGTTATTATCCCAGAACACTGTGTTCTTTCAAGTGAAGCTAAAGACACTTCAATAAGAAACTTTTAAAATACTCCATATTCCTCAACTGATCTATTACAGGTCATAATATATGTCCAAAGGCAGGTTAGGCAGGCATATGGAAATGCAACCTTATTGATTCACAAAGCTATTGAGACTTTAATTGAGTAGCATTAAGGAGTTCAAGTTAATGATGTTAGCTTTCAATTTAAACTCTGAGACTGAGAGGTTTATAATGATAATTTTCATCAAAACTCCTTATTGAGGGTATTACCTGGAAGTGGAATACTTAAAAGCTACATATATATATATATATATCTGTATTTGGAACGTAAATGGCATGTAGTAATTTTCATATTTTGTGAGTTGGACTGGTGTATCTCTGTCTCCCATTTCAGATAATTCTTTGTAGGATTTAATGAACTGCCATGAAAAGACAAAGACCAGAGGTGGATGAACATTAATCCATACAGTCAGTTTTAAGAAGACACATTTTTAACCTCTGTTTTGGACAGACTTTTCCATATTATTCTTCTGTGAATGTATTCTAGTTTGGTTTAGTGTATTCTACTGAACATAACCACCCTCTAAGAGACACCTACATTTTCAATTCTCCTCCTTGTGTGTGGCCCATTTGTTTCCACCAGCTCCAGCCAGGATGCCATTAGTCACGTGCAATAAGCATCAGGTGGGAGGGGTTGGTGCAAATTCTCAAGATAAGACCAAAATTCTTTGCTCAATGGGATTTCTCTTTAAACCAGGTCCCGATTACAAGGAGCTGGATGTTCACCTTCGGAGAATGGAGTCTGGGTTTGGCTTCAGGATCCTGGGAGGAGATGAGCCTGGGCAGCCTGTGAGTTATTTCTTCTTGATTTTCCTTTTCCTTCCACATTCTATAATCTGTGTAAAGGTCAGAAAAATATCACTACACAACTGAACCCAAATGAACACCATGTTAAGGCTACAAGTAAAATTACTTTTATTCATCCACAAAAAAAAACAGAACTCTCAGGTTTTTCACATCTGAGAATTAAGTTAGAATAAGAAGGCATAAAGGTGGAAACAATATCATTCATCTCATTACTGTGGAGTGTGACCTGGCATCTCTTAATCTGGACTTTTCAAAAGAAAGTTTAAGCAGAAGATTCCAAAAGTCCAATTATGTAAGACTATCCATAACCATGTTCAGAGTAGACAACTTGTATGCAAAATGTATGCTTGTGGTTAAAAAACAGTCAGAAATGCAGTTTATTTCCAGAAACAGAAGACCTTACCAGGGAGTGATAGTCCAAGTTAAATGACATCATGTGAGGCAATAGGCATAACAAAATGAACATAGATGGTTTGCTAATAAAATATAATATAAAATATATAATATGCAAAATATTTAAAAGAAACAGTATAGAAGCCCAAAATAAGGGTCCAATGTGCATGACATACCACAAATGTGTAAATATTTTTATAAATTATTGATCTATTTAAATACTATAATTTTGAGAGCAGGCAGAATTAGTACTCTTTCAGAAAAATTCAATGGTGTAACTATAGTCTGATAGCTAGGACTAATCTCAAGTCAATAATGATAGTGCTTTCCTATCATAATTTTAAGCAGTCTGAGTCTTTTGTTACCACATTTCGGAGATAATGTATAATTAATTATTAGATTTTCATATTCCCTAGTCAATAATTTATATATTCCATATTCAAAATAATACAGAATAGTACATTTTTCATTCAAGCCTTGAGGTTAACCAGCACATAGCTTTGAGAAACAAAGAAGCTCTTATATTTTTGAAATTGTCAACATCTGTCGAAGTACTAATAAATCTTAACAGTTTACTGATGTCTCCCATAAAAAGAAAAGAATGCAGTGTATTATAAAAAAGATGCTTCAAGTGCTGTTTGAAATTCAGTTCTAGTTTAGAATAAGTGATATCAATGGTTTTTCAAATATAAAGTATAGCTGCTCAGAAGAATTAGAAGACAACACTGCTCCATCCTCTACACTTACAGTGTGCCTGAAGCCCCTCTGATATGTGATTTCCTTCTGTGAAGCATGTCCCAGTGCACATAAAATGAGGCCACTGAGCCATCATCTGCACATTCTCCAACTGAGCATTTTTCCTGTCCCTTCTGGACGGGCCAGCCAGTATAAGTTCTCAAAGCACACATACTGGGTGAAGCCAAAAAGGAAATCCATGAGGTGTTTGTGGAAATTGTATCTTTTTAGACTGTTGGGAAATGGCACTAGAAAGACACTACCTTTAAGACTAGGTTGGGTGGAGCTTTGAGCAACATGGTGTAGTGGAAGGTGTCTGCCCATGGCATGGCAGGGAGATCGGAGTTAGATGATTTTTAATGTCCTTTCCAACCCAAACCATTCTATGTTCTGGGAAGATTTGGAAATCTACTTCTACCTGCTCTGGACAGTGATGTCTAATGGCATTTACTATCTCCCAGGAAAGTGTCCCTGGCTACAGGGCTGCTCAGTATTATGTGAGAGGCTCTCTTGGTGTCTCCTTTAGTGTTTTTTTCATTACAAATGGATAATTAAGCAGTCATAGACTTGGCATCTGACTGGCTCTGCTTGTTGGAGGTTTATGACAATCTCATGTGGCTCAAACACCTTATCTCAAAGATGATTATTTATATAAAACTGAATGATTTCAACCCATAGGACTAAGAGAAAACTCATGGAGAATATCTGATATTCTGGTAGTTCATATCCATAATACATGCTGGAGTTGTGAGAGACTTGAGTCTCTCAGTCTGCTCAGCAGTCCAGTACAAAAGAAATTTTGAAGCAAGCCTTTTGCCCTGCAGCTACATGCATTATGCACTGAAGTATTACAGAGGATCAGCTCTTTCTAGTGTCTCTTCAGCAGAGGACTGACCTGACTTTACTGTCTGAAGTCAAAGAGCCATAGCTGGATATCAAGGGCAGAGATAAGCACCTTGCTATTTTTGGAGAGCAGGACCAAAAAACACTGCCCTCTGTGAACCACCCTCTAACACATTTCACTGTCCTGTAGAACAATTGCTCTCAGCCTGCCCTTAGCCTCAAGGTTGCTATCTCTATTCCATCTGCACATACAAAAGTGTTTTTCCCCAAGATTTATCAATCCAATGGGCTTTATGTGTCTTTTCAAATATTTCTCAAAGTCCCCAGGAGTTAAAAAGAGCCTAACTTGAAGCTGAGGATTGTACAAGGCAAAAAGACACCCTCCTAGAATTAAGTGTTGCAGTGCTGAGGTTTTCAATTCTCACTCCCTTGTGGTTGCCCATCTTGTTTTCACTGCTCAAATTTAACACCAATAAACACAACAGATGTACTCTTTTTGGTGTTCTTCTATTTCATATTCAAAGTACAAGAATTCTTAGCTCTATTCTCTCTCCTCCACTGCTTTCCTGCCCCCCCATGGACAGCCCACCTGCAGCCTCCCATTTCTTTCACCTCCAGAAAAGCAGAAGCAGTTTTTGCCTGTTCTCCAGACCCCTGCTTTTCCTATGAAACAAGAACTGAGATGCTTTGAAATTTTTATTTCAGCTCTCCTGCTGTGCAGTCAAGTAACACAGAACAAAAGGAAGCTTTTGTCTTTGTGGTTTGAGTTCTAAAAAGGAATATGGATTCTTCACCATAAGGCAATAATTTTTCAGAGAAGGAGAATCCAAATAAAGTTATTTTAGAAGGTAATACTGACACTATAGAGGGACTGTAGCTTAGTTTCCTTCTAGTTATATCAGCTACCTGGCACCTTGGAAGGAGAAAATGCTGGTGTACTACTCCACTTTTAATATTTGTAAGTGTAAAAATGCTTTTAAAGGAAATACTTAAATTTATTGAGAAATTTCAGATATCAAGACTGTGAGTTGTGCCAGTTCAAATCAACTCTTAAATCTTATAATATTGCACTACAACAGCTATTTATCACATCTCCCAGTAACTTGAGGATTTAGGGATAATCTGACTCTGTAATGGTGAATTATATTATTACTGAAAGGTTGCAAAAACACATAAATTGGAACTTTACTGAAGTTGCAAATTGCTGTCCCAGAGGGGAGATCTATTTTGCATACATCTGTGCAACTCAAATTCAGTATCACAGGAACATATACATAATTTCTCTAAGAGTTTTTCAACATGGACACACTGGGATTTTTCTCAAAAATATCCTCAAGATATATGTTTGAATTTTTTTTATTATCAGTGCCAAGATATAGTCTAAGTATCTTTCTACATTTCTAAGGCATAGATGTCCATAGAGCAAAATCTTAGGACAAGGCCATGCCTTGGGAAGCCCTATTTTAACAGTAAACAGAGTTCAGGTGATTAGCTTGGATTTAGACATCACTGACACTTAAAATTAGTGAATCACCCTTTATGTGTATATACTTGAATTTTGCTATGTGCCTGTGAGGCAACTATGTTATATTCAGAGAAAGTAAAATACAAATTCAGATGATTACCAAGAATCACAAAGAAAGTCAGTATCAAAGCAGATTAACCTGTATAAATTAATAGACACAGGCTTTAATTTCGGATTAGGTTTTGCCACAATCATCCTAATCCCAGAATTTGTCCTGTTTAATCTTAAACAATAGGAGAAACTTTTCTTTTTATACTACATCACACTCTTTATTGCTTACATGCCATCATCCTTCTCCTCATGCATTCAAAGCAATCTCATGCCAGTATGAAACTGCATTTCAGAGGTAAGTAGTCCTGATATATATTTTTCCGATTTGTGCTTTACATGTAGAATTGATAGCTATTATGGCAACTTCCCAGCCATGAAACAAGAGCAGATACTGCATAAGAAACAAATTCTTAGACACAGAAAATAAAAAGTAGGAAAATTAAGTTGTTCTTGCTATTAAATATACCAAATAATAGATATGGTAGCCATCATCTTGACAAACACACCTAGCTGAAGTGTTTAATGTATGAAGTATCTGCTGCTTATTTAGGAATCTGACACTGAGATAACAAAATCACATTACGTGGTGAACATGTGAAATATCAGCAATAATTACTTAGAACTAGAGAGAGTTTTTCTACTTGTCTGTGTATACTGATGACCTACCATGCTATGATCTGCATTTTGTTTATACAAGGGTTAAAGGTGCTCAAATTGTTTAATATTTTGTCAGAAAATCATGAAAAAAACTGCAAATGTTCAACAAGAACAAAGGAGGAAGCCAATCCCTACAATCTCCCATGCTTCAGAGGGAGATCTCCTCTCAAAATAACTAGGAAGAAATTCTTACTCATATGAGATGCCTAATTCTCAAATGTTTTGAGACTACTTTGTGGATATCTAGCTAAATGCAGCCTCAGAGAGTTTTTCTTCTTTCCAGTAAAGGAGCATAAATTCATATTTCATGGTTGAATTTTGCACAAAGTATTTTCCAAATCTTTTTTAATGTTTTTTCACCATTTGAAGAACAGAATGGAGAACCTGAAACAGCCTCTCTAACCACTCAGCCTGGCACTGTTTAAAAGGAGACCAGGAACACCAGAAAGTAGGAAAAATTCGCATCACATTCTCTCTTTGCTAGGTTTTGAAAGCAAAACTAAGCCAAAGGGAGGTGAAAAACTAGGGAAAATTCTCCAGGCTCCACAAGGGATTTCATTTAAACACTATGCTGAGATACTTGCAACTCTGCAGCTAAGACCACAAAAAAACCACAGGCCCACCTGTGTGACTACCACATGTAGCCTTTGCAATTCATCATGAAAAGCACTGCTTCACAACTTTTATCTTTTATTATTTAAAGCAGATTGTCACATGGCATGTCATATCCATCATTTTGCACTCACTCTCAGACTGAAAAAGAGAACGGAAAATTTGAAACACTGTCTGTGAGTGCTTTAATATTCTTTCAAAGAAAGCAGGTTTTGTTGAATCAATCTCAAATTATTCTACCAGTTATTCCATGGGGAAAATATATACATCTTCTTCCAAGAAATTATGTGAAATTATCTGCATAGAAGGTGGAGAAAGTCATTACAAGGTTTTGGACAGATGTTTTACTAGTTTATATGTCCCATACAAACTACATCTAAATGTTGATTTGGGAAAACAACATCTGCCCAGAACAATCTGACATTTTTTCCTCTTTTTTTCCATTTTAACCAAGCACTGTCTGAGCAATCATTCATTAGGAGCAATAATATTTAATATTCTTTTCCCCTAAAGAGTCCCAAAGCGAACTCTGTGTAGTGGGGTCACTTCCACTGCTGACCTCAGGTATATGACTCCAAGTGCTTAAATCACACAGCAGTGAAGAAACTTCAACAAGAAATACACAGACTTGATAATTTTAAATTTAAAAGATCCTTACATAGAATTAATCTTTTTAAGTCTTAGTTATAACTTAGTCTGTAGAAACTCAACGCTCCTTAGAGACAGATTATCTTGATTTGGACATATCAAGCAGAACTGAGATTAGGAATCTCTGGTGTATCTTTCCTGTGCAGGTAGAAAACACCTTACCTTCTTACCAAAGGCAAGGAAGCATCCTCAGTCACCCATGAGAGGACAAGCACAGCTTTCAGTCACACATAGACCTCTTCACCTGTGCTAAATCACTAGCTCAATTTCAAAAGAAAGAGAAAATCACTGCAATATTCATGTCACTAAATTGCAGGCTCAGTGTAATGTATGACAGGATTTTGTTTCTTTGCTGCCTAGATTCTCATCGGAGCAGTAATTGCCATGGGCTCAGCAGACCGAGATGGTCGTCTCCATCCTGGGGATGAGCTGGTGTACGTAGATGGGATTCCAGTGGCCGGCAAAACCCACCGATATGTGATTGATCTTATGCATAACGCTGCCCGAAACGGGCAGGTGAATCTTACTGTGAGGAGAAAGGTGCTACCCACAGGTGAGTGAAGGCTGGGAAAGGTGAAAGGGAAAACAGATCCCAGTGCTGTTTAAAAAAAAATAGAGGAAATCAAAGTGAATGTGTCATTTTGAGGAAAGAATTATTGTAAATATGTGTCCCTTGTTCCTGTGGCAAAAGTACAACAACTGAGCGTTGTTTCCTTCAGAAGTGGAAACATACTGGCAACCCTGGTGTGACCATCATAAGTGCTCTGGGTTTGTTCCATGCTGTCTTGGTCTGTGCTGTCTCCTTTTGTCCCCTTTTGGGACTGAACATTCACCTAAGTTAAAGCCATTTGAGCTGACTATGTCAATAAGAGACAGGCTCAAAGACTGTTAACTGTTTTAGGACAGGAACTCATTTCACTCTTATATGTGTTAAAAGCCCATTTCTGGTCTCACTGATGTCATCTGGAATTTCCCACTGAACTGCAATGCAAGCTGGCGGAAAATCTTCTGTAGGGCACGAGGGCCGAATTCTTCTGTCAAGCAGACATATTCAGAAAATGAACCTAAACCACTATGAAGTATTTGTAGTAAATTAGATGTTTAGACTAGCTCAGTCTCAATTGCCAAAAAACATCGGAAGTGGCAGCATCTATTAAAACTTTAATGGGAGAATTTGATGACGTTCCATTAGAACCACTGCTTACTTGAGGAAAGAAGTTTATTTAAGAACTTTTAGAACATTTTTGGTGAGTACACTTGTCTGAGGTACCAGAAATGAGCAAAACCACATTCCCAGCCTGTCCTGTCTTCTGCCTGCCCGTGCCCTAGATCCACTGTCACTGCCTGCGCCGTTCCCCTTCGCTCCTGTGCCAAAAAGCCGCCCTCCCACTCACCTTCGTCTTCGCAGTCCCCCTCCCACTGCGGCACCGCAGCTCCCTGCCAGCCGTGCTCCTGCGGGACTGACTTTCTTCTGTTACTGACTCCAGAGTCCTCCAGCCAGAAAGGTGCCCCCGCGCCCGGTGCGACGCCCCCTCGCAGCTCCCCCAGCGCGAGGAAAATGGCCAATAACCAAGGTAATCACGCCAAGCCCTCGCTGCCAGCGGCAGCCGCCGCACACACGGCGGGCAAAGCTGGCACACAGCAGGTGCCGGCCTTCGCTGCTGCTCATTCCATATTGAAGGCTCTACTAGCCACTCTGGGCTCCTGGTGCCGACAGTAAGCAAGCTGGTAAAACACCCGGAGTTATTCTTCAGCCTTGAGAGTGCCACTCGAGGGAATGTGGCATATAGCTCATTAATGTTTAAGCATATGAGGAGCTGAACAGGATTTTAATGTGGTGTGTTACAGCATAAGATTTGTGGAAAAATTTAAAACAATTGATGTTGGGTGTGACTGAAAAATGCTATGCTAATACATCAGGCCAATTGATTTCATGGAACTTCTCACTAGCATGAATGTATACAACAGAGGGATCTGGGGTTTTCCTTACCTGTCTGTAGCTGATAAACATATATTAGCCCACACCTGGAATTACCATTCTGTACATATACTTACCCAGATCTAGAACAGAAAATCACAGTTCACAAGATCTGGAAAACAATTTGATTAGGAAAATGTGATTTTTGGATTGAAATGCCATTTTTTCACAGGCAGGAGCAAAATGTATTTTTTCTGATGAGTATCTATTGCACAGTTGACAGTAACATAGCCATTTAAGCTTTTCCTCCTTTATCATTCTTTTTCTATATTTAATGGCATTCAATTGCATTCTTTCATGGCCAAGCCAGATCTTGGTCATTCTACAGGGTAAGAGAATTTCCTTTCTGTTGCAGCTGTACTGATATAAACAACATTCAGCTTTCTGAAACATGACAGCCAGAAAATGAGAACTCTCTTGTCACTGACTATGGCATTTAGTTGCAGATTTGGTTCAATAACTCTTAGAGATTTTCAGGGGGTATAATAATTGTTTTTTTTTTCCTCTTTATACTCTCTAATTACTTTATTTCATAGTTGCAGAAGGACTGCGAAAGGACACACCTGACTGAGAAAACAACAGCTTGTCCTTGGATGCTGTTTATTTTAATAATATATACAAACACTAGAGATCTAATTTGCAAACTCTCTACCTAGGATGTATGTGTATATGTGGGAGCTCCTCACATGTTCAGTAAAATTACTCTGCCACTTTTGTTGTTCCAAAGAGAAAACATAATACTTACATTTATCTGAAATTTCTGTATTAAAACTGTCAATAAATACTGATTTGTGTAAACAATTTAAATCTGCAAAGAATATAAATCTTTTTTTTCCCATCTGGAATTATAAATCTGCTGTTTTCAATTGCCAAAATGCTCACACTAAAAATGTGTAATCTCACAAGTTTTAACTTGTTTCCTATTCTTGTTACTGTAAAGCAATACTAAAGTGTACATGGACTCCATTTTCACTTCTGCCCTTTTGAACTTGCTAAACAAGAGCATCTCAAAACATTTAAATGACCACTGCTTCTGCCATGACACCCACAGAAAAACTACTTTTGTTGATTTTCATTGTATAACAGTTCTGCTCTTTGAACATTTTTTGAGCAAGCTAATCAACTTGTAAGAACATTATGCAGCTAATCCTAATTACTCTGTTAGCTCCCTGCTTAAATTCTTGTAATCCAAACACAAATAATTTTTTATTGAATTAGACGGTCACTTTTCCTCTTGATGACAGATCTACCAGCAGACAAGGGAATAGCGTTTGGTAATCTTTTTGCAATCCAGATAGACACTGTTTCTTACTTTCCTCTCTTGTAGCTAGCCTAGCAGTCAGTGTTCATGCTTGCTTTATCTGATTGCCCTTGAATGTTCTGCATAACTGTGTAGATTCCTGTCTCCCCGCATCTATTACAGCTCCTAGTTTAATACTCGGGTAGTCTGGTCTGTAGACAGTCAGCTATGTTCGCGTTGCATTAGCAAATGTACCGAAAGGCACAGAGCCGCTGAGCGAGTCCGCCTGTGACACCAGTGTGATTTATGTTGTAGGAGAACCCTGCCCAGAGAATGGCAGAAGCCCAGGCTCGGTGTCCACGCACCACAGCTCTCCAAGAAGTGACTACACGACCTATGCCAACAGCAATCACGCGGCCTCCGGCAGCAGTGCCACTCCTCCCGAGGGCTTCGCGTCGCACAGCCTGCAAACCAGCGACGTGGTCATCCACCGCAAGGAGAACGAAGGCTTCGGCTTCGTCATCATCAGCTCCCTCAACAGGCCCGACTCTGGCTCCACAATAAGTCAGTAAATCACGTTTTGCAGTTCATATTTCTCCGAGTTTGCCCCAAATAAAAAAAAAAAAATTAAACTGCCAATAGTTCATTTAAACCCATATGCTAATAATTTATCACTGCAGAGATTTTAACTGAAGATACTCTTAATGTTTATTCTGAGGCACTGCTTGTTTTGTCTTCGACCAAACCAAAGGTTATTCTGGCCTCTCAAGCCCTGTGCTTCCCACACTTCTTCGACTATCAGAGTAATAGAGGATTCTAACTAGATTTTCTCTGTTACTATGTCTCAAAGAGACACTGTAAGTAACAAGTAGGTTTATGTGAACAAATTATTCTCCTACATGCAACTGAATTAGACTTTTTTTTAATAAATCAAGATGAAGTTCAGAAAGTTGAAAAAAGCTTAGATCATAGCAAACCCTATGACAACAGCTATCCAATCATGGGACTGCAAAAGCAACTAGAAGTTGGGAGAACTTGTTATATGAAGCTGCAGAGAGGCTGACTTAACTGGGTGGAGTACAGACAGCATAAAAATTACAGCTGAGTACGGGGGATAGGTGTTTCTCTCTGTACTCAGTAGTACTCAGGTGGCAAGATCTGACCTTAATAATTATAGCTCACTTTCTGTTCAGAAAACTCATTTTTTCTGTGGGTCATTTTTATTGCTTTAATAAAGATATCTGGTGCCACTTGAGACGTCCTGGGTACATCTAGGGAGAGGTCAGATAGGTGTGACATAGGACCTACAGAAGACTCAATCCCAGGTAGTGGCAGCTGGAGCCACAGGGACACCTCTGGGTATTTCCATGGCATTTAACCCAATTGAGCCCTCTGGAAGAAGGAAGCAAAAAAGGCTTTATATTGAGAGACATCTTCACACCCCACCATGTAATGCTAACCACAACTGAAAAACCAAGAGAGGTGAGGGGATTTATCATTTTGCAAGTTGAAGCCTAATACAATGCTTTCCCTGCACTAAAATATGCTTTGAAGGAACTGTTCTTTTGCCTAAAACTGGTTCCTGGCAAAATAAAATCACAATTGCAACTTCAAGGCCAAATATCACACTTCTAAATTCATACCTGAAAAGCAGTTAAGAGAGTACTGGGAAAATCTTATCTCACAACAGCAAGTTACCTCAGAAAACTTTTTTGCAGTATTTCATGATCATGCAGTTATTAAAAGAGTTGCTTTTCATGCTACCTCAGCTGAATTTTAAAATTCCATTATTTCTGGAATTAATACTGTAACAAAATCATAACTAATTAGCCTCTTGGGACTCTGAGTTTTCACATTACTGAGTATAATAGCCAAAGAATTGGAAGCTCTTTGCAGAAGATCAGAAAAGAAAAAAATAATCAATAGTGGTACATACATGTTAATCAGTTAAGTCAGTCATGATTTTTTTTCAAGAAAATTATTTTCTAGAGAGAATTTCTGGTTGGGGCAGTTGGAGAGGGAAAGGAGAGAGGAAAAGAAAGAGAGAATGCTCAATCAACCAAAAATTCTGTGACTGGAATAGTCTCTTGAAGACTACAGACCCAGGTTCAAGGTCCTGCTTTGCCTCCTACCCTCCAACATGTTCTTTCAGTACTTTTCTTTCTCCACAAGTAACTGTGTAAGTAGTCATTTTTGATGTTCAGCTGAACATCTCCAATAGTAAAGGGAAATGACAGCCTGCTGTGGAAGTGACAAGAGAATTTAATCAAACAATGGCTGCATTGAATTTCAGTAATCCCCAAAAGTACCAAATCCCAAGTTTACAAGAACAGTGAACAAAAAATTACATTTGCTGTAGACAGTGATAGAAAAGACAAGAAAATACCCTTCCTATATAAATTCTGTTACAAAACTGTAGAAAAAATATCCTGAAAAATACATCATCTGTCATCAGTAATGAAAATAATCTAAAAATTATTGACTCTTTCTAGACGTTATATTCTTTACTTAATATTTATTTGGCTGACGTAATTTGAGCTTTATTAACAGAAGCAGAGCCAGTAGATTGAGGGAAATTATTATCCCCTTTTACTCAGCACTCACTGGCATCCATTCAGAATACATCATCAGAATACAGCGTTTGGTAGAACAGGGAAACTCTCCTGAGGTACCTTCTATCTTTAAATAACACAAATCCTTTTATTGAAATGCACAATCAAGGGTAGAAAGCATACCAATGGTAAGAAAATATCAAATGGATACAGGAAGTGCAATGTCCAAAATATATGACACATCACTATCAAAATGTGAACCTGCATGGCACCATGCTAACACCTTGGTAGGTACTCCTCATAGCAGCAATATGTTAATTGAGTGAAATATTGTGCTCTGGTTCCAGTGTCCCTTGTTTCAGAGGCAGTGCACTTGTTGCCAGCTCCTGTATCCCCATGTGGAGCAGAATGATGTTATGAAGACATGCATGCACAGAGTAATGTTAATGTTGTAATTGCAAAGCAATTCTGAAAAATTCAAAATGGGCAAAATACGTCAAAAAAGGGAGCATCGTGTAGTGCCAGACATTTTTAGAAGGAGCAGCACCCAGGAAGTTCTCTCACTGGGATCATCCTCAGGGTAAAGTGAAGAAGCATTCCTTTGATTTAAGAATGTTTATTTTAATAACTCTATTCCCTCCTTTACTTTCTTGCAAAAGCAAGACTTGATGTCTTGGAAGAATAAGTATCATGACTTTAACTCAGAAAGGCAATTAATTATGCACTGAAAGTATTTTCCTTGTTGTTAAAATCACATTTACAAACTGTATTTTACAGTCCAACAGATTACTCTTGTGGAGTTCAGGAGCAAGCACTTTGTGTCACTAGGTGCATGTGCTGAAGTACTGCTAAAATTGAAGCAGTCATTCCAGCAGGGCTGCTCCTGGCTACAGAGCTGCAGGTTCATTAGTTTGCTGCTTTGCAGCTGGCCTGAAGCTGAAGGGGTTGCACAAAGCTGACCTTGTGTTTGCCAGGAGAGTTTGCTCTGCCTGTGCAGCTGTAGGACCATCCCAGAAGTTACAGGGCAGTGCTCCAGCTGAGTATCAAATCCCTTTTCCACCCTCTGGTGGGTTGTGGGCTGCACTGCTCCCACACAGCCTCTTAGTGCTTCATGCCCCTTCTGACCTGAGACTGAGCCATGAAAGGCTCAGGAACTCCCAGGATTAGAGATGAAACTCTTTTTCCAAGAGGTTTAGGGTCCTGGTCAGATGGTTTGTTGTTACAGTTGGTTTATTGGCCTGCCTTTGCCGTATAGAAATTTTCAAAATATTAAATGCTGGTTTTATGCTATGGATAGACACAGAGTGAGGGCAGACTACAGCCATAATTAGGAAACACACTATTTTTTCACATTTTGTGATGGGCAGCACTGTCATATCTGTCAGTTGATAAATTAACATTAAGTACTTTGGAGCCAGCCTTTAGATATGAATGTCATTTTTCCTTACTGGTACTTGCATTCTTGTGGCAGACTTATTTTCCTGTGTCTATAATGGTAGAAATTTTGTTTCCCCTTTGTCAAAGCATTGCTTGGGATGTTCTCTAATCCAGCACAGGGGATTATCTTGAACTGAACTACGGTTCTGATGTGGGGAGATCAGGAGTGGAAAACAAATGACAAGGATTGAATGAAGAGATTTTACAGGGCAAAGCAGAGGCAGAGAAAAGGTCAGCCATGCTTCAAAACTGTATCAGTAAAAGGAGATAAAGAGCATAAATAAAGAGCTGTGCTTGAGTGGTATATCCAGGAGCAAGTCATTTTGCCTAGTGCAGCACGCAGAGGATCTTGGAGTGCTAAGAGATTAAGAAAAGAAAATGCACCTGTCCAGGCTCCTGACCTATTTCTAACGAAAGGATTAGCTTCCACTGCCTCTAAAATATACTATTGTGCCTTCCCCCAGATCCTGTTCCAACATTAAAGGGGAATATGGCTCTCATCCCTTCTCCACACATGAGAAATTACAGCTAAAATACTTAAATTTAAGAAATTAATCTACACTTTGCATTATATTTAGGGAAGTATTTTTAGGGTAACAAAATAATTTCAGTATCCGTGCCCTATGGAAAAGCACTTACAGACTTCTGGAGGTGACCCGAATGGGATTTCTGTCCGAGTTTTATGGAGTAAACTTGTCTCTGCCTACTTCATATCTTCCTGATATTTTTACTTTTTGTGTTTGGTATGCAGCTTCATCTAAAATAAGTACTAAAATAAGTGACCCTCTGTAAATCTCTTTTTACATCATAATTTTTTTAGAGAGAAGGCAAAAGTTGTAAACAGACCTTGTTAACTCACAACATCCAATTAAATTGGAAAACTGCAATATTTCCAGGAATTTTACTGTATCAGGTACTGTCAATTAGCACAGTTATAAAGTGTAAACAACCTGAAAATACAGAACAACCTGAAAATACAGGCCTAATCAATAAAAATTTTCCAAAAATTAAAGACTGCATACTTGTTATGATCTTCCTCCTGCTTCGCAAAAGAGGAGTTGTTGATTTAATTTGCCCCTACACTGCATGTGCCAGTGCCTGCTGGATTTTGAAAACATGATAAAACAGAGTCTAATGAAAGAAGTTCCTTTCATTTCTCAAAACATGCAGTCTTACTAAGAAACATAAATCCAAGATAAGCCTCTGCTGACTGCAGAAAACAGCATTCTGAATAAGTCCCATTCAGCCCAGAGTTTCTTTAAACTCCTTATGGTTTAGAGATAAAAACCAGTTTATCAATCAGTGATAACTGCGTGATCTGAGTTGTTTGTGCAGCAGTTTCACCTATGCTTTTCCTGGGTAAGATGGTGGTTAGGGACATAATTTTATGTGACCAATCTTCAAATTCTAAAGGATACAGAGCTTTGGAAATTAGGATGTCTGTCTACCCTACCTAGGACATTTTTGGAGCATAACAGTGAAAACCCACCCACAGTGTTCATCCCCCATGGAAGATATTTGCAATCTGTGGGCATGGAATCTGGATTCTCATTTCTACGCAGCTGTGATGCTCAG